TACTTGTGGGGATTCTGAAGGGGATTCATTTTCAGAAAAGACTAAGACGGAAGAAGATCAGGGGATCGTCAGTTTGTTGCAAAGGGCTCACTCTCACATGACAAAAAGATTGGCCTACAAGTTCATATATGCATGTAATCTGATCCCTATTCCAAGTCCATCATGAGAAACATGTTCTGATGGAGTTTGCTGTGCCCTGATTCTAGGGACCAGGACTTGATCTAGAAAATAACCCCGAGTCATATTATGACGAAAAGAGCACTGACCCCAAAATCAGAGAAATTGGATTCAGTTCTCCCTTTGATGTTTACTACATGAATGACTTTGGGCAAGTCCCTTAATTTCCTTGGGACTCAGTTTCCTCAATCTGTAAAATGAGAGGATTGGATTTATTGGCCTCTGATGTTCCTGCCAGTTCTAGACCCATTATTCCATGATATTCTTTTTGATCAGGATCCTTGACTGTGCAAATCGAGTTCCACCATGAAAACACTGTGTTCATTCTGAGGTGGACCAGAACCTCCAAACTGACCCAGCCTCAGTAGATGGGACACCACAGAGAAGCTTCTTCTCATTTCAACTGACACTTAATCAGGGCACTTGAGTCTCTGCTTAGGCTTCCTAAAGTCAATATTTTCTCCTTTAAAATTAAAAAAAAAGGTTTTTTAAAGATAAGAGCCACGACCAAATTGAGACAAAGACATTTCAAGCTTAATTTTACTCATTAAAAATCTACCCAAAATGTCATTGGTGATAGGGAGTGAGCAACGTATCTTTCTTTCATGGGAAATTGTGGGGGCTAATGTAGAAAAATACCATCTCGAAATGATCCTAGAGCTCCCATTTTGTCTACTAGCCACAGTCTTCTCCACATGAAATCATGTGCTATAGTGAAAAGAGCTTCACTGGCTGCTAGTCAGCAAGAATTGAGGCAGCCGGGTAGCCCAGTAGATAGAGTGTGGGACCTGGAGTCAGGAAGACCTGAGTTCAAATCCAGCCTCAGACACTTAGAAGCTGTGCGACCTTGGGCAAGTTACTTAACTCCTAGGTTTGCCTAGGAGGCATCTAGGTGGCTCAGTAGATAGAGCCCTGAGCCTGGAGTCAGACACTTAGTGGTGTCATGACCCACAGCTAGTCACTTAACCTCTGTCTCAGTTTCCTCAGCTCTAAGATGGGGATCACAATAGCACCTACCTCCTAGGGTTTGTGAGGTTCAAATGAAATAATATTTGTAAAGGGCTTGGCACAATGTCTGGCATGAATAAATGTTTGTTCCCTTCTCCTTCTAGTCCTGACTCTGCCCCTAACTGGCTGGGCAGCCTTGGCAAGGTCCTTCCTTCCCTGGGTCTCAGTTTGCTTAGCTGTAAAATGACAGGATTAGACTAGATGATCTCTAAGCAGGTCCCTGTCCTATCTAGCATTCAATCCATGACTTTATGATTTAAAATCTTCATCAGATTTGCTTATTGTAAATCACTGTAAATTGTGATCTAGACAGATTAAAATGTCCTTTCCCCCCAACTCCCCATCTCCATCAAAGGTAAGGTCCTAACAAACAGCAGCTTTGCCAAAAAATGCAGAAAATAGAATAGTAAGAGAAATTAAAAGGCATTTGGGGTTAGATTTTCAATCAAGAATCAAGAAGCAATTTTGTGGAAAAGGGATTAGATTTATTCTGCTTGGCCCCAGTGGGTTCTGGGAGGGCTGGAAGCAATGGGTGGAACTTGAAGCTTAATTATATTAATATGATGTTAATATATTAATATAATGTTAATTCTGTTAATATAATATTAGTTATATTTTATTAGACTGATGAGACCTATCCAAAGTGGAATGGGCCACCTTGAACTTGAGCCTCCAAACTGGGCCTCCCCCAAGTGTTGCCCAAACCAGATTAAAATGTAATTGGAAAATATTCAACAAAATAAATAAAACTACAATAAAATATAGATAATGTTAATAAATGAGTTTTTCAGTTAATATGCAGCCTGCAGTGATCCTTGGGTAGTGTTTCTCTTTGATTTTGACAGCACTGCTGTTGAGGGGACCCTGGTCCAGGGAAGGGTTGGACTAGATGGCCACATCCCTTTCCAATCTGAGATTCTGCATTACTTTGTTGTGTGTAGGTGGAACCATGGACTGTCTCCATCTAAGTTCTGTGCTGATTCCTCATCTCAAAAGCTGAGTACATTCTGAGAGGCCTGGTGGCAAATTCTATCTCTTGTCTAAAGACCAATTAAACTAAGTTTGGAGAGGCAGTAGAGTGAGAGATTTTTTAGCTAGAGAAAGTCAGTCAGAGAGGTTAATTCAATTTGACAGGCATTTATTAAGCACTTATTAATAAACATCTTAATAGGTGCTAGGGATACAAAGATGGGGGGGGAACCCACTCCCTGCCCTCTTACTCTACTGGGTAGAACATATACATAGATAAGTAAAAACACAAAGTATATACAAGATGGGGCAGCTAGGTGGCACAGTGGATACAGCACTGGCCCTGAAGTCAAGAAGGCCTGAGTTCAAATCTGGTCTCAGACACTTACTAGCTGTGTGACCCTGGGCAAGTCACTTAACCTCTACTTGCCTCAATCTGCTAGAGAAGGAAATGGCAAGCCACTCCAGTATCCTTGTCAAGAAAAACCCATGGACAGTAGGGTCCACAGGGTCATGAAGAGTTGGACATGACTGAATAACTGAACAACAAATATACTAGATAAACATCATTGTACCACCCCCTGAACTGTCTGTGGTTGGGTTTCCCTTAAGCAGTGGTTCTTAATAACACAAAAACATGGGTCATGGGTCCCTTTGGCAGTCTGATGAAACCTATGGACTCCTCAGAACAACATTTTACACATAAGATAAAATGCATAGGATTACAAAGTAAGACAATGATATTGAAATAGGAAAATATCTTTTCTTAAATTCATAGACCCCAGATTAAGAACCCTTGACCTAGAAAATGTTCAAAGTATTTTGTGGGATCTGCAGCCCTTAACCTACAGTTTACAAGCCCCCACTGATGGGTTTGCCTTTCAGTAATCACCAAAAAGACACAATTACTGAAATGTCATGAGAAGTACCAGGACATACTCTCCTACAAATACACCTAGCATCAGCTGACAGAGAAGACATGCATCCTGGTCCCAAGGAGAGAGGCACACATTTGAGCATGTTGTGGGACTGTCATGGGTAAGAAGGAGTAAATGAGAGCCTTGTTGCTGCAGGATTGCTGATGTACAATGCTGTGATTTGCTTTGGTGTGGGGAGTGTTCACACTGCAATCACAGACCCTCGAAGAATTGAAGTACAGAATGTGAAAGCCATCAGGGGCCAGAGAAAACATCTAGCCCAACCCTTTCATTTTGCAGACAAAGCCTAGAGAAATAAAGTGGTTTTTCCCAAGTTACACAAGTTAGCAGAAGATCTGGGATTAGAACCCAGGTGTCCTGTCTTAAAGTACAGTACTGTTTCCTCTACCCAGGTTGCTTCGAGATGCTTACCTCGTTTGTTCTAAAATTTGTTCCAGCCTAAGAGGCTAGAGGGAGATGGAGCCCTGATATACGGTATCCCTTCGACATCAGACAGGCTACCTTCACAGTCAGCCACTGGGAAAACTCTCTGCCTTGAGCCAGTTTCTCACGACTGCGTAAAAAATGATTTCTCCCTTGGCTGTCAGAAGCTTATCATCCTGTGATAAAATGGGTTTTTCAGACTCTCTTATGCATGAAATTGCTGTCTTCGCTTTTCCTGCCTTATCTTAACTGATGTATATCAAACCCTGGGACTCTTTGGGGGTTGCTGCCTCCTTCTGCTATGATCCACAAAGGGAGAATATGAAAAGGTCTCTCTAAATTTTGCAGGACCCATTTGAGTTTCCCTTCCCATCAAAAAGGAGAGGACGTGTCAGTAGACGAAATCTGGGAGTCTAAATAAAGATGGGTTTAAAGAGATCTCAGCCCTGATAGAAGCAGAGCTTGGCAACCCGGGTTGAACAGATCAGGGTCGCAGCCAGCTCCCGGCCTCCCCTCCCTCCAGTAGCTTGAGCAAGAAAGAAGAGGCGGTGGAAAATTAGCTTGTCGCTTAAGGGGCCCTGACGTTGCTCTGCTAGGTACGGCAGTCCTAAAGGTTTAACGTTAACCAAACGTCTACTTAAGATTCAGAGTGTACCATGTGATAGGAAAGGAGGAGGACAGCTGGCAGGTTTCCATCTTTTTCCACTAAATATAGCCTTCTGAAAACATATAGCTCTCCTTTAGGGCTGCCCTAAATGCCGACCTTTACAATTTGTTAGGCTAGATGACCGTGAAGCAGAATCGGCACCTGGCTCCTAGCCAAGATCTAGAGCCAGAACGCACCTTAGAGGCTTACCCCCTTGGGCTTACCAAAGATCTTGCAGCTGATGAATAAAGTAGCGAGGGCAGGATTGTGAGCCCACATCCTCAGACTCCAAATACAAGCTTCTTTCCATTATACCAAGTTGTGATAGACGAGGTTGTGTAGGTAGAAACCTGCCCGCACTAAACAGCTTTGATGGAAACGAGCAAATAGGAAAGAGCGCGCAGCCTCGCCCGCCCTGGCTCTTGAGGGTGTGGAGACCTAGGCTAAGGAGCCAGAAACCTTAGGCTGTATTGTAATTCTCACCCTTTCCTTCTCCCTCTTCCCTCTCCCTTTCTCCCTTCCTTTCTCTCTTTTCCCCTCCCTCTTACTCTTTCCCCTTCTCTCTCTCTTTCCTGTTCCATCTCTCTTCACCACCACCCCCCTCTTCATGCCTGCTGCCCCTTAATTGAAAGACATAAATATAAATCATGGTCATTCTCTATGCATTGTATTCAGTTACTTCAGAGCCAAACTAAATTAAAGACTCTGATTCCCGAGCTGATGCAGTCATTAATACCGGAGGAAATGGAAGGGACGAGCTTTGTTCAATTTCTGCCATATCAGGAAGGTAGGAGAGACAGGGAATGATCTCTATGAGAATAACCAAGTGGAGAAGGGCATAACCCAAAAGGGGAGGGGAGCGCCACAGAAATGAGATTTTATTTCCATGGCAAAAGGAAAGAAATGTTTCAGGAAGATCTGTTTGTTTGGGGAGAGAACAGACACAGGCCACTCCAGTTTCTTCTTGCCCTGCCTCCTTTGTCTGTTTTATGGGGAGGACGCTTTCTCCTGGGAGGGCGAACAGATGATCTTGAAGCAGCCTTCCTTGCAGCCCGGGGTAGGCCCTGAGGATGCCGTCCCCACCAGACCAACGCATCCCTGCATGGCCGCTACATTTTCCTGCTGAGGTGGGACCTCAGGATGTGAGACCTCTGTAGGGACTGTGCTCTCTTCAGTGGGTGGAGTCTGCTCCGGGTAGCTAAAGCTAGATGTTTCCACAGGCTCTGGAGTCTTGAGCTCCTTAGATGCATCTCCAACACTTCCTGCTTCCATTAAATGATCTGTGAAAGGTGGGTAGGAGCAGAGTGAGTTCTCTAAAACAACCTTTCCACTGTGAGGGACACAGCTTCACCTTCATGTCTTTCTCACCAGAGGTACTCCACATCTGAGTACCTCTCTGAACCTCAATACCTTCATCTGACAATTACACCTGCCCTATATACCCTCATGCTTGCTGTGAGAATAATGGATATAAAATCACTCTGGAAAGCATAAAATACAGTAGCTCAACATAATTAAAAGAACACTGGGCCTAGCTGGATTCTAGGCCTGACCTTGCCACTTACTAGCCTTGTGACCTTGGCCCACTCAAATACTTTCTTTGAACGGCAGCATTATAATATATGAAAAGGGCACTAGATTTAGAGTCAGAAAAACTGGGTTCAAATCTTGCCTCTTCTACTTTACTACCCATGTGACATGGGACAAGTCACTTCCATTCTCTGAGATTTAATCTCCTCATTTATAAAATCAGGATACAGGATTAGATGACCTTCAAGGTCATCAATTCTTTCAATTCTTAAGTCCTCAGGGCCATGAAGTTGGGGATAATAATTACTTGTCTGACTTGTGGTACAGTGGATGTGTCCTACAGAGCCAGTCTGAGGGTAAAGTCCACCTGGGTTCAACCCTCGCCTCTCTGACCCAGACTGCCCACATGATACAGAGGAAGATCCTTAATTTCTCATGTGTTGCCTACATGCATCAGTAGAGGGAGCTTCCTAATCAGGAGCTCAATGAAATCATCATCATGACGTCAGTGCAATTATGAGTGAAATCACAGGTCCAGACCAAAAAACCAAAAACAGCTTGGTAAACTGTAAGACCTCTCTGAATGTGTTATCACAACCCTTACTGTTTAAATCTTTTCCAAGCAAAATTATCTCAGAACAGTGGTCTCCTCAGCTCTTTCATCTAATTACCCCTCAGAGCCCATAGAAATGGCCTCCAGCCCCAGACGCTTTGGGCTGGCCAGTGGTGACACTTTCTTCTCATCAAGGTCTCTAGTTTCCTTAAGCATCCTTGGGAAACCATTGACTTGAAATATCCTCCATCTCTGAGCCAATGGCTCGGCCCTTCTCTCCTTCCAGGGGAAAGGATCTGGGTTAGGAAAGCTCTGACCCTACCACAGGAACAGATGCTGAGAATTATACATCAAATCCTGGCTTCAGGATTGGTACTGGGCAAACAGCAGCCATGGTGACCTTTGGATGATATACTTGGGACTTGGGTCAATAAAATCTTGATTTAAATGTTCTGTTATTCTGAGTGTCAGTGAGGGCCTTTGGGGTTCCTCTAGTCCAGGGGTTCTTAAGCATTTTCATGTGTCATGGGCCCCTTTGGCAGTCTGATGAAGCTTATGCACTCCTCAGAATATGATGGGGGTTTGGGGGGGAGAGGTTGTGGCAATCAGGGTTAAGTGACTTGCCCAGGGTCACACAGCTAGTAAGTGTCTGAGGTTACATTTGAACTCAGGTCCTCCTGACTCCAGGGACACTGCTCTATCCACTGTGCCACCTAGCTGCCCTTTCAGAATTGAAAGAAATTCTAAATTTCAGTTAGAGGTCAGTGAAAATGATGATATAATTTTTCCCCCATCCAACTTCATGGACCCCTTCAAATCTACCCACAGGGGAATTTCTCCTTGGGAATCTATGACCACAAGTTAAGGACTCCTGATCTAAGCCAACTTCCTTATTTTATGGTTGAAGGAACAGAGGTCCAGAGAGAGTGAGTGACAAATTCAAGTCTAGGCTGGGGGAAAGCACAGGACTTGAAGTCAGAAGAGCTAAGTTAACAATCATTAACAATGGTGTGACCTTGAGCAAATCACCTAACCTTTCTAGGCTCCTAGTCTGTAAAGTGAGAGGTGAGAGAAACTATTATTAATAACCAATGAATTGGGGAGATCTAAGAGCTCCCCCTTTTTCTAAAGTGCTCATTTCAAAAGTTCTGCCTTTAGAAGGACATTACTGATAATGAGATTGAATTAATTCTCCTCAATCTTGGTCAGGTTTGGGTGGGGATAAATTCTTCAAATTGATTGCCCAAGGCTGGGTAACTTAGAAGTAAATGACATAATCGAAGTTCATGGGAATAGGTCCAGCCCCTCACTGTAATATTCATTTTCTCATTAATCGTTAACCAATCAGAATTGATTGCTACTCTCAGGAACACCCCTCTTCCAAAGGCATATAAGCTGTGAGCCTGGCCGCCATGATTGTCTTTGGCGTTCAAGAGTGCTATTGACCTTTTATTAAAAATGCTAGCATTATTAATAAAGTGACTAATTACCCAGAAATTACGTCTCTCAGACTTTTTAAATGGCACAGGGGGTTGACCTAGGTGATCTCTCACTTCCTTCCAGCTCTGAAATTCTGTTATTCTCCCTTTTACGCAGCCTGACAACACATTATTTTGGATATAATAAAGTTACTGCAGTGGGGACCAAGGAACAAACAAGTAGCCTCTGGGGGTGTTTATCCTTTAGTAAGGGTCCCAGGCATAGGCCTGTCTACATCCATGCTCTGTGCGATGGCCCTTCAGTCCAACAGAACCCAGGGTTCTCTCTCCTGTCCCCCTATTAAATTAATATCTAGAACAGGCAAATCAGAGCCTTAAAGGACTAATTCATCTTAGGTGAAAGGCAGACTGTGTGCTCTGATGAGTATATTGAATGCTAGGCTTGGAGTTGGGAAGATCTGGGTTCAAATCTAACTATGTGACCCTAGGCACATCAACCTCTTTGATCTTTAGTCTCTTTATCTGTAAAATGGGGCTAAAAATCTATCTCAGAGTTGTTGTGAAGGTCAAATGTAAAAGTGTAAGCAAAATATGGTGCAAACTTAAAAGTGTTAAATAAATGTGAGCTATTATTATTAAAAACATACATAAGCAAAACTGGCATCCACCCCTCCCCCTGCTTTTTTCCACCAATTATTGCAGTGCATTGCTCCAATGCAGAAAGCATATCTCATAGTCTAATAATGTTATCCTGGGAAGGGAACGAGAGCTCATCAGGATGACCTCTCCATTTTACAGAGGAGTAAACAGAAGCCTGAGATTACTCAGCTGAAGAATAGTAGAACCAGGACTTCACTCTTCCCAGTCCTGGGAGCGAGAGCTGTTTCCACACTGCCTCGCCTATATTTGTAAACTAAACACTCTATCAATGTTTGCCTTTTGGTCTTTACTTTTGTTAAATAACACAGTCCCTAGGCTGTGTGCCCTCAGAGGTCCACTAGCCATAGGTCAGTCAAATATTCATCAAGGGCCCACTACGGGTCAGATAGTACATAGAGCACTGGGCTGGGAACCAAGAAGACTCATCTTCATGAGTTCAAATCCAACCTCAGACACTTACTAGCCCAGTATGACCCTGGGTAAGTCACTTTACCCTGTCTGCCTCAGTTTCCTCATCTGCAAAATGAGCTGGAGAAGGAAATGACAGACCACTCCAGTATCTTTGCCAAGAAAACCCCCAATAGGGTCACAGAGAGTCGGGCACAACTGGAATAACTGAACATGTGCCAGGCACTGTGCTAAGCACTGGGTATGCAAAGAAAGGTAAAAGACAGTCCCTGCCCTCTAGGAGCTCACGATCTAGAGGGAGAGACAGCATGCAATCAAATACATACAAACATTCTACAAATAGGAAATAATCGCTCAATAGGCACTAGAACTAGGTGGGATGTTTGCTGGGACTTGAGGGAAGTCAGGTGTAGTTATTACCAAAGCAATCCTTGCCAGGCTTACTATGGACAAAGGCGCTGAGAGAGGGGCCAGACTGTTCCCAGCCAGATCCAGGATCTGGGAGAAGAAAGAGGCGCAAAGTCATGATAGGAGCATAGATTCAGAGAAGTTAGGGACCCCAGAGATGATCTAATCCAACTCCTTCCATTTACAGATGAGAAAACTGAGGCCCAAAAACTTCAGTGACTTGCCCAAGGTCATACAGCTAGTAAGTTAATAAGTGATAGAGTCCAGATTTGAATTCTGGCTATGGGAACAGAGGAGAGACTTAGCTTTAGCAGAAGAACCCTCTTGTCTGAGCTCACAAAAACCTGGTAAGGCAGGGGCTAGAGGAACTCTAGGGTTTCTGCTGGGAAGCTCTGAGGCAGAATGGACTTGGAATGATAATTACAGTAATTATAATAGCTAACATGTATTTAGAACTTTTATATTTATATATGATGCTATATATATTTTATATATTTATGCTACGTACATATAATGTAGCACAATTTATATAGCATTTTAAGGTTTACAAAGGTTAGAGAGATGAATATAAATATAAATATACACATTTGTATTTCTGTTGGGTGATTGATAGATGCTTGTCAACTGACATACACACATATATGTATACATATGCATACATACATATATGTATATGTACATGTGTGTATACCTACATATACCTCTGTGTGTGTGTGTGTGTGTGTGTGTGTGTGTGTGTGTGTACAGCTAGGTGGTGCAGTAGAGAGAGCAGCAAACCTGGAGTCAGGAAGACCTGAGTTCAAATTCATCCCCAGATTAATTACTAGTGTATGACCCTGGGCCAGTCACCCAACCCTATTTGCCTCAGTCTCCTCAAGTGTAAAATGAGAATGATAATAAAGGCACCTCCCTCCTAGGGCTGTTATAAGGATCAAAGGAGATAATAAAGCATTTAGCACAGTACCTGGTACATAGTAGGCATATAAATCCTAGCTATTACTATTTTTGAGGGCAACTAGATGGAGCAGTGGCTAGAGTGTCAGGCCTGGACTCAGGAAGTCTCATTTTTGTGAGTTCAGATCTGGCCTCGGACACTTCCTGGCTGTGTGACCCTGGGCAAATCACTTAACCCTGTTTGCCTCAGTTTCTTTATCTGTCAAATGAGCAGGAGAAGGAAGTGCCGAACCATTCCAGTATCTTTGCCATGAAAACCTCAAATGGGGTCACATAGGGTGTACTGAACAACAGCAATGATTTTTATTATTTCATGGGTGTGGGTAATTCTAAGGAGCTGAAAACTGGAAGACTCCCTGAACCAATGCGGATGGACAGCTGGTCTTAAAGGGTTGCCTGCAGGGCTGAAAAATTAAGCAACTTGCACAGGGTGACACAATTAATGTCTGAGAGGCTGAAGACTTGAACCCAGGACGCTGAACTCTCTGGTTCCGTCTTCACTGTCTCCTTTTCCCTTGGTGGTTTCCTGGACACACCAATCCCGGAAGTGAGTGACATGAAACTGGAGGAATCACATAATTTCCAAATTGGAAGGGACAGCCCCACCCCTGCCACACACCCTCTCCTCGGTTGTTTAGTCTGATGTGAAAGTTCACTTTAACCTTTGTTCACCTGAACGAACGTGTAACCTGGGGAGCTTCCGCCTCCCCCAAACACCCATTGCAGAAATAAATCAAAAAATCCCCCCGGGGTTCCAAACTCGTGGATATCATTGTCATTCCGCACGTCCCCCCTCTCAGCCTCCCCCCCACTCCCTCCATCCCCACCGCTCCTCCGTATACGCACATACATACACCATGCACTACTGTGCCCAGGAGTCAACCTCCTAATTAAGTTTTTTTTTTTAAAGTGGACCCTCATAGCTGCCTGACAGAATGATGTAATAAGGGACCACCTTGAACCAGAGGTCTTTGAAAGCCTTGTAGAAAGGAGGGGTGGGATAGAGAGCTGGGGGTGGGGGCAGGTAAGCCCAAGGACACAAGCTGGAGAAGAGGGTCCCGCCCAACTCTAGTTACATACCCTGTGTGGAGGTCTGATCCGGCCCTGGCCGAGGCTGGTCTCCCTTCCTCCTCAGGAAGCAGGCCATGGTGACAAAAAAGCAGCAAAAGATAGCGAACACACACAGCCCCAGGACGGTGTAGACCAGAGCCAGCTGTCCTGGGTCGCCACTCAGCTTCTGGTCCAGTTGCAGCAGGGGGCTTGCCTCAGCTAAAACAGAGACATGGGCACCAGCGTCATTCGGACAGGTGTGTTCAGGGAATGCAGAGAAAAGGCGATTCAGGCCAGGCAAGGCACAGGTAAAACCCTAGGGCTACCTGTCCCTTGTATGGTCAAAGCAGTGTGTTTGTGCAGGGTTAGTGGGTGGAGAGGAAGTGGAGCCGGAAGGGCCTTCAGGCTTTGGTCAAGAGACTCTACCTATTCCCTTTCATTTCTCCTCCTCAACAGTAAGTAATTTGGGGCAGGTAGGTGGCCCAGTGGATAGAGCACTGGTACTGGAGTCAGAAGGACCTGAGTTTAAACCCTACCTCAGACATAACACTTACTAGCTGTGTGACCTTCAGCAAGTCACTTAACCCCATTGCCTAGCCAAAAAAAAAAAAACCCAAAAAAACCCCAGTAAGTAATTAGCAGATCACAGTGTGAGAAAGTACCACAGGGTGAATAATTCTGTGTACAGATTGTTCCCATGATAGTATATGGCTTTATATACATTGTCTCTTTGGATTTTCACAACAGTGAATTAGGGGCTATCACCAACACAAATTTACAGATGAGGCTGAGGAAGTTAAGTGACTTACCCAGGATCATATATCCTGTAAACGTAGGAGGCAGGACTCTATCCACTGCCCTACCTAGCTTGCCACTCTGCACACAGTAAGCCCTTTGGAGCATGGTCAAAAGACAGAGTGGGCAAAGGGAGATGGGTGACACTGGGTTTGGGCAGAAAGACCCCTCCCATCATCTCCTAAACTTTGATGGAATTTCAGATTTAGGGTGAGGTCAAACTACCCAGAGTGCCTCTAAACCTGATCTGAGGAAGGGGGAAATTATGGGTAGGAGAGGCAGATGCACAGCGAAGAAAGCCCAATTGGAAGAGGGAGGGCATGGAGTTATGGAGAAAGTGGATGGGAGGTCATGAACGGCTGAGGAGATTCCGGAGCCAGAGTCTGGAGCCCAATGAAAGACTGACCTTCTCCCACCTTCCCTTTCCCTCTTGGCTTGGGAGACATTTGCCTTTGTTTTAAAGGGTTACTTTGTTTCTTGAGCTGGCAAATGTGATAAGCCGATCAACAGAAATGTTTCATTCTTACCAACAGAAGAAAAAAAGAGCGTTTATCCTAGAGGAGAGGTATCAAACATACCGCCCCCAGGCAGTGTCGCTTTCCAACAGTGGTACAAAACTAAATAGACACTTACTAGCTGTGTGACCCTGGGCAAGTCACTTAACCCCATTGCCCAACCAAAAAAATAAAATAAAATAAAATGAAAACTAAATTAGAATGTAATTGGGAAATATTTCATGAAATAAAATTACAGTAGAACGTGGATAATGTAACTGTGTGATTTTCTAAGTCAATATGCTGCCTGCAGGGATTCTTACATACATAGTTAGACACCACTGTTCTAGAGGGGAAAAAGTGCTTGGTTTAGACTAAACCTATAGGTTCAGGGGCTAATTTAAAACCTTTAGACAAAGTGAAAGATCGGTATTGAACTGCTATAAGTCTAACAAAAATTTGGGGTTCATATATTTCTAGAGATAAAATCATAATTCCTCTATCTCTAAAGATAAAATCATGATTCCTATATCTCTAGAGATAAAATCATGATTACTATATTTCTAGAGATAAAATCATGAACTGATAATGGCAAATTTTGAAGGGAACAAAAGCTTGGTCATTTTCACTTTCCTTTTAGCTAGTGGCGGCCACTTGTCATATCTGGTTTGGAAAAGCAAGCCATGCCCCACTAAGGGCAGGGAAGGGAAGAAGGAAGGAAGGAAAGAAGGAAGGAAGGAAGGAAGGAAGGAAGGAAGGAAGGAAGGAAGGAAGGAAGGAAGGAAGGAAGGAAGGAAGGAAGGAAGGAAGGAAGGATGGATGAGATGTGTTTCCCAACTGGCCAGTTCCAGTTGGGTCCCCAATAGGGCAGTTCTTAATTCTACTCACAGAAGCTGTCATTTGTCCTTTGTACTCAAAAAGGACCATGACATACCATGACATGCAAGTGAATTGGATTAAAGTGAGGGAGGGCTCTGCAAAGTCACCAGCCTCACTCTCTCCTCCAGAGCCATCTGGGTCCAGTGGCCAGATATAGATCAGGACAACCAGAGATATCCCCCAGAATTCTGGGTATGAAATATCAGAAAGTGTACATCCTGTCTCAGATGCTACCTGGATGACCCTGTGCCCCTGTTTCCTCACCTGTAAAATAAGGGGGTTAGATCAGATGGCCTTTAAGGTCCTTTCCAACTATAAATATATGTCCAAGGTGACACAGAGATTAAGCAGCAGAACCAAAATCTGAATTCAGATCCTCTGACTCCAAATACAGGGTTCCTTCTAGACCACACTTCCTTCCAATCAAAGGCATCCTTTGGCAAGAAAGGAGTATACAAGGATAAGATGAGGAAACTCAATATAGTATACAACATAGCAGGTAGATGGCAATGTGGATAAAGCAGTGGGCCTAGAGTCAGGAAGACCTCAGTTCAAATCCTGGCATGCTTACTAGCTCTGTGACCCTGGACAGATCACTTAACCTTTGTTTACCTCGGTTTCCTCATCTGTAAAATGGGGATGATAATAATAGCCCTACCTCCAAGGGTTGTTGTGAAGGTCAAATGAGAGAAAATTTATAAAGCACTTTGCAAACCTCACAATTGTTCAATCGTGGCTGACTTTTTGTGACCCCATTTAGGGTTTTCTTGGCAAAGATACTGGAGTGGTTTGCCATTTCCTTCTCCAGCTCATTTTACAGATGAGGAAACTGAGGCAAACAGGGTGAAGTGACTTGCCCAGGATCACACAGCTATTAAGTGTCTCAGGTCAGATTTGAACTCAGGAACATGATTCTTCTTGCCTTCAGGTCTGGCATTTTGTGCGCTATGGCACCACCTAGCTCCCCTATATAAATATCCTATATAAATGTTGACTATTATTAGAAAGTACTCTGGACTGGAGGTCAGGAGGCAGGATTCCAGTCCTGACCCAGTCATTAAGCAGCTGAGTGACCTTGAGTAGGTCCCTCCCTCTGTTTGGGTCTCAACCCTCCAAGGGGCACAGGCCTGACATTTTGGGGGGGGGGTGAAAGGAGGGGGAAGGAAAGGGAATGGTATTGCTATCTTCACCACCACACCCCAGTCCCTACTCAACTGAATTTAGAATTACACTACTGCTCCCTCCCCTTGATGCTTCCCAGGGGGAGAAACTTGTAGCAGACTGATGAAAAAGCTGTGAACCCTCAGAGGAGCAGAAGTCCAGAAGGAAATCGTGCAGAGAGGAGGAAGGAAAGAACCTTTTGGGTGGGAAAAGCTTGGGAATGTGAAGAGCCAGGGAACCTCCAGCAAGAACCACCCTATCTCACTGGTCTCATAATAACAGGGCAAGCCAGAGCTAAGCTTTCCACACACACCCCAAAGCCAAGCTCCCCAAATCCCATACCTGCCCGTAATAGAGTCCAAAATGTCCTCTGCCTCACATCTAGACCATGCACCAAAGTAGGAAAAGTTTCCTACTCTTTAATAGGGGATGGGAGTGGATGGGGAGACCTGGTAGGGATGCTAAGGTCCTTCCCAAGGAGGAACACCATTTTTTCCTAGTAGCTGCAATACCAAGGAAACTACCACAAGAGGGCAGTAGCTCCCAGCTTTTGATAGCCATCTTCAACTGCTATGGGGGAGCAAGAGCTGTTGCTTCTTCTGAAAATCGTGAACTATTGTTTCCTTTAAGACCTGCTGACAATTTTTAAACCAGCCTAAATTTAGATCTTCCATTTTCTTTGTTGCAGCTGGCTTTCTCCTCCTTTCCACTCCTACTGAGCTCTAGTTCTTTGAGAAGCAGCAGGAAATAACAGGAAGAAATGGTACCCACCATGTTCGACGGCCCTTCAGAAGGAACCATTAGATCATAGCTAGAAGGGCCCCTCAATTGACAGTTAAGGAAATAAGGCTCCTTTCCCTACACTCTAGCTGTGTGACCTTCCAGATCAACTTCTCCAAACGTCAGTTTCTTCATCTATAAAATGGAACAGCAGCATGGAGATGCAGGTGGAAAGTTGGCCTGGAATTTAGGAAGACCTGGGCCCAAATCACTTAACCTCCCAGGGCCACAGGCAGCTCTATTGAGACTATAAATTACCAACCAGGTGAAGCCCTGCTTTGGTAGAGGGAGTTTCCAGTCCCAAAAAACAACAGCCTGCATTTGAATGTTGCCTCTACTACTTACTACCTATATGGCCTTAGGCAAGTCACTTTCCCTCTCTGGGCCTCAGTTTCCTCATCTGTAAAAGAGTTGGACAAGAGCAGGAATTCTTAACCTTTTCTGCATCATAGACTCCCTGGGCAGTCTGGTGAAACATATGGACCCCTTCTCAAGAGAATGTTTTTAAAATAAAATACATTGGATTATAAAGGAAATCTATTATATTGAAATGCAGTTATCCAAATAAAAAAATAAACAAACAAAAAAAGCTCCCACAAATTTACAGACTTCAGGTTAAGAATCCCTGGATTTGAGGATCTGAAAAGCCTTCCAGCCCAACCCCAGATCTAGGTTACTTATTTCATTTGAATGCAACTATGAGGTCAAGTTCAAATCACATTCTGTCATTTTTATCAAGATGAAATCCAGTTAATAAAAACAATAACTATCATTTGTACAGTATTTTAAGGTTTTGCAAAGCACTTTACAAATATTTCATTTTAATAATGACAATAGTAACTAGTGTTTACATAATGCCTTTATAAATATTTATAATTTTTTTTTGTTTTATAAATGTTATGTCATTTCATCCTCACAGCAACCCTGGAAGGTAGATGCTATTATTTTCTAGCGTTTATTAACACAGTACTTGGCACTTGCATAATAAATGTTTTTGAGTGATCTCTCTATTTCACAGTCAAGGAAACTGAAGCAAAATGACTTGGCCAGGGTCACATAGTTATTACGAGTCTGATGGACTAAATTTGAATTCAGTGTCTTTCTGACTTC